GACAGAGAACACCAGCGCCCGCAGCCTGCAGCCCCGGAGTTCTCTGTCCCTGGCAGGCGCAGGGCTGCAGCTTCTCTCCCCTGCTGGGCACTAGGCAGGCCCCGCGCCTGCCGGGAACAGAGAACACCGCACCCGCAGCCTGAGTTCTCTGTCCCCGTGGGGCCGCGGTTTCTCTCCCCGGCTGGGCACTAGGCGGGTGCACATAAATGCCCTGGTGGGCACCGCGTTGGGGACCACTTATTTAGTTGATTGAGAAGAGGACTGGAAACCTCTCACCTATCTGCCAATGACTAGCTTTAGCAATATTTTTTATATAATTAATTATTTCAGAAAACCTCTCCACACCAATTCTTCAGCACATGGCCCCAACCCAGTAAAGCACTTAAGTACGTGCTTAACTTCAAGCACGTGAGTAGTCACAATGAAGTCAGGAGGTGGAGGGCAACACAGCACACCATCACCTAAAACTGACCTCCCCAATTCCTCTTCCAGATTTCTTACAAATCAAGCTGGTTGGTTTTAGCTTCATTACGATGCCCTAGCATGCACCATGTAGAGCTGAAGCCAGTTGATGTGATTTAGGAGAACTGAAAGGTAAATAAAAAGGGTTTGGTTTGAAGTTGCCATATGATTAATGTCCCTATTAGCTCACTAAACTGGACCGTTCAGCACATTTTGCTCAAGCAGATGGAAATTTGAGATTTTATTTTTAGTTCACCTTTAAGTAAGAAGAATTGCTGTAAGTATCCACAGGAGTTCATGAAGCTAGAGCTCAGCAGCATGACAGTAACCAATGACTGGATAAAAATTGCTTCCTGAAGGTAGTACAGATAATCTGTTTATCAGGCACTGTATTCTGTCTTTTTATACAGACTCTCAGAGCTTCTGTACACGGTATTTACACATGCCTGAATATATTCTCTGCTCATTTTTTTCTTTTTTTCTAGCTGCTGATTGAAGTTACTGGATAAATTCAGTGTTGCTCATTTGTGAGCTAACAACTCTGATTAGCAGAAAGAGTGACCACTACCCACAGACTCTACACAATGACAATTCAGATTAACAGGGTAACTAACTTAAATTCAAGTCACATCTAAATTACATTACTGTTAAAATAAACTACAAAATCTTCTCACCTTTATAGTCGCCCTAACACAATGACTTTCCTTGAAGCACTATACCTTTCCTCATTCCTACATAAAACCTTTCAGTTTACACATAATACAAGAATACGCAGAGCAGATTATGAAAGCAGAACACATTAGGTGCAGTTATGTATTTCTATTCATTCCCGTAATGCAGTGTTTCGTGGTTTGGTATTATATTATATCCAAGCACCATACCATTTTTATATTAACCCTGCATTCTAGAATGTTTTGTGCAATCATTTTCACATGTTCATAGCAAAGTCAACGTCTGCTTCTTCCTTTGTGTTTTCCCATGATTTGTGTGAATAAAATTAGTTAACAGTAACTGGGCTACTATAAAAGATATTTCTATAAACATTTATTGGTGAAAGCACTGCCTGACCTTCCAACAGAATATTAAAAGTGAACTGTACAGATGTGTTTACATCAGGCATGTTCTCCCTGTGGGAAAGGAATTGTATTACATCTCTGGAGAACAAATAACTATGGAAAATGTTTTTACAAGTTATCAGGCCTCCTTAACTATGATATGGGACTAATCACCAGCTCCCACAGGATATCATTATGGATCCTAAACATGGAGTTTGGAACCAATTAACTTTCAAAACTAGTGGCATCAGCTCCTAATGTCTAAGCCATGTGCCATGCTGCTCATACTCAAAAATGAATTACATAATTAAAAGGATCATCTGAGGACTTTTGGTGTGATGAAAAATAAAAGTATTTGAAGAAACTTTAATTTTAAGCCTAGTAGTGAATAAGAACCGAATCTTGTACTGAAAAACATTTGCTTCAGAAGGTTTCTGCAATGCTATCTTGGAATTTTTATCCAGGTCAGCTTCATGATATGAAAATCAAGAATAGTCTATCCAAGGCTGACAGAAATGTATGTTCAAAACAATGTTTTGGGAGGACAATGCCCATAAATTTCTCTCTAGAAAATACAGCACTATCATGAACATAAGTATTTTATTTAATCTTTAGTTGACATACAACTGTAATGAGGGGACGGAATGCTGGAATTAGCCCCTCTACAGTCTATTGCCCATGTTAAAGAAATAGCTGATGTACAGTGAACAAGAATTTATTTTAAAAGGGTACATCCTATTTATAAAGGAGCTTGCATGCAATATTGCAATCCATTAGCTGAACCAAGAGGCGAAAATCAAAGTTAATAGGCATCAGAAAGGCCTCCTTGAGAATGCATGTTAACAGTTATTGACAGCAACTAAAAAGATGTCTGTACTGACATGCCTCCAGTGGATACCCAAGTTACATAAAGAATTCAAATCAGAAATACTGATTTGTTTAAGTGCAGTAACGAGACAATAGTTGCTTACTAATTTGAATTAGTGTTCCAGCTATTAAGAGATCGCAACTAAACAAAAAATTCTGCAGAAGATATGGGCAGTGTTTTGTGGCTTCTTTTTTGATTAAGGAATTATCTGTGTTGAAAGTAAAAACAGAAGATCACTTTAGAAATGTTGACAACAAATGTAACTTTATGGTGTCAATACAGATATTAAATAGTTTTTGTAAGATTACACCAGATATACAGTATTCTGGCTCATCCCAGAGCAATAGCTGAATATCTGTGTAAAAGAAAAAGAATGGTTTCTGGAAGGTGAATTAGATGCAGAGAGAAAACATAGTCAAACTGCCTACTAACGGGTAAAAGTTACCTTAGGATGGATAGAGACAGGACAGAAGGCAAATTCTTTGATAACAGCCATTTCAGTTTTGTTACTGGACTAGTTGTTTACGCATAAACAATGTTAAAGGAGTCTGTCCCTAAGAATAGGAATATCAGAACATTGAAGATGTATTTACATATAAGAGTATACTCCTGTTTATCCAAATCTTTCAGACAACCGGGTGTTCAGATAAACAGATGTGCTATTAATATAGGGCTACATGTGGGACTATAACTGCCTCTACTCAGTCAGAGTGCCTCCTGCTTTTAGAGTTGGCACTGCACTGATCTGCACCCCCAGTGCTCCCTTTTGCTTCTTCCGTTATGCTGCACTGACTTATCCTTTGTCTTTGTGTTCTGTGACTTAGTCCTCTGGCCAAGACACTTATCCAGTCTTGTCCCTTTCCAGGGTGCCAAGTATCCAATGAAATCACCAACTTTGCCCTCAGTTCTCCCGCAGGACTTCTCCCACAAGAGCTTATCTCCTTCTCCAGGACTTCTCTCACAAAAGCCTGTCTTGCTCGCTGTGATTTTCTCTTTGTAGGAGAGTCCTGCCTTCTCTGCAGTCTTTCCCCACAACGGAGTTCCCTCAGGAGATTTACAAACCCAGGGTATCTAATGGCTCATCATCTACCTCCACCCCTTCTGGCCAGGAAGGAATCAGTCAATCACCCCACAGGTAGAGCATCTCTCTAATTGGGTTTTTTCCCCCGCTTCTTCTGCAGGTGATGGGAGTTCATCCCATCACAGGTACACAATATGGATTTGGATAACTAGGATTTTCAACTAACTGGAATTATGCTGTATTTAAAAGTCTTCCCAGCATGACATTAAAAACTTCCATCCATTTAAATTATCAATTGCTTTTCATAATATCTTAGTGATATGGCTAATTACTAAAGCTTGCTCTCACAGCAATTACTATATTCAATTATTAAAGGGATTGCTATCACTTCATCTTCTCCATTTTATTCCTGTAATTAAATAATTATATGAACTTTGTGATATCACAATGAATTCAATGTCAGACAGCTTTCTGAACCAGCAAGGCCAATTAGTAATTTCTAAGGAGGGAAGTGAAAAAACTTCCCTGAATGAAACAATAAGGGGCTTTCTAGGTAAGCAAAATATTAACTAACTACCGGTAACTAAGTTGAGGGCTGGCTAGTTCCCCGAGTTCAACATTATCAGTCTTATGACATATTCTTCTGAGTGATCAGTAGTTTTTTTCCTGACTAAGAAGTAAGAGTGCTCCCTGCAAGCCCACCACCCCCATTATCTCCATCATCACCCAGGTTTTGCTCAGAGGCCTGCAATCAAAGTACTGATCTGACCTCACCCTGCTTAGACTACAAGACTGAATGAGATCAAAATATGGAAGAAGGTAATTTTAAGGATAATGAAGGTTATATTACATATATATTATATAGTAGAAAAATTATCTTTCTAGATCTGTTAATTTTTTATGCAATTACATGAGTTTTCTGAAACATTTCTTAAGTGTACTACAGGTCTGTCTCATCTTATGCGGGGGTTCCGTTCCGCAGTTAGCGCGTAAAGCGAAAACGCGTATAGCCAAAACCCCATTGAGTTCAATGGCGGGCGAAATCGCCCACACTACAGGTATAGTATTAAAATTGTTGTTTCTCTCTTTTTTTTTGTTTTGCCGACCGCATAAAGTTGAAATCGCGCATGTTAAATGCGCGTAAGATGCGACAGACCTGTAATATAAAAATTTAAGAAACTATAAACAAAAGCAATAGTGGATTTTGAGCCTTATACAGTCTGTTCTAATCCCGTTCATAAAAGAAGGATTTGTAATGGCTAGCTACTATATACAAAAAACAAATGACTCCACATTGAAAATATCCTAGGAACTGGGAGAAGCAAAACCAACTAGATTTTGCATACACACTTGGGAGCCTTAGGTCTTGCACTAGCAGATTGGACATTTAAACTCCAAGTGTTAACAAATGAATCTGTCAAACTATTTATATTGAGTAGAGCTTAACAATAACTAGGGAGAGGAATCAAAGTTGTCATAAATTCCAAAGGGTATAAAGTATAATGATATGGAAGTGAGTGGCCTTAGTTAATGCTAAAGTCCTTTTGTTCA